CTAACTTTTGGTTAATCAAATTAATATGTATTCAGAGATAAAAGCTATTCAGTTAGGCTAAAATCGATGTACTATTATAGTTGATTTTTACATTTGGAATTCATCCAAGAATTAAGCTCTACTTCCATCATCATCAGGGGCGGATGGAGCCTTGTAGTACTGGGTCATCTAAACGTAAGTATTTTTGACACGGAATATAAATTTAAGTGTAAAAGTTTATTGTAATTACTATTAAAAGAGTAGCCGATGCACTAAGCTGCCGCGTATTCCAGGGACGGGCCTGACCACAAGGGTCTATTATACGCAATCTTACCTTGCATTTATGCAAGAGAGTACTGTTTCCACGACTTGAATCTGTGACCTCCTGATCACATGGTAACAACTTTACTAGTTACGCCAAGTGCAGCCCGGTGCAACTAAAATTACTATTAAATAGTAGAAATAATTAAACCCATAACTTAAAAATAAAATGAATTTAATATTAAAAATCTTAACTTCTATAATCATAGAGTTTAAATCCTGAATCTGCCTCTGGTCGTAATTACTTCCTTTTGGAAAGTATGTGGAGCATTCTTTTGAAACTTTCAACTTGACACAAAATCCTTAAGTTTCCTTGTTGATTGTAGCCAAGCTCATGAGCAGAAAAATCAAGTAAAGTTACAAGACAAGGATGTTTAATCAACTTCATTGGTATCAAGATTTTCTCCATTATTTCTTCATTTCCAACAAGAACAGGAACATACCCTTTGCAAATAGCTTGATCTTTTTCTTGAATTTCATCACTTCTTAATCTCACATAATCACAAGGAAATGTAGTTTTCTTCACTCTCACTCCTAATAACCTCATACTCACAATAATTACAAAAAAGAAAAATTAAAAAAAAATTTGCTCTTCTGACTCGGGTTGAACCTTTATCAGCGGAGGAAAGGAATAGCGATGGATTATACAATCTTGCTTATACTGATGTTAATGTACTGGTTATGTTCATCAAAAATAGCATAATTAAGCTCTATTTATATTCCTCTTGCTTATACATATGTGATTGAGGAATTAATAATGTTTTTCTTGACTTATATGATTTAATTAATCGATTAAGTGACTATAAACACCGTCCCTATGATGTCATTTGAATTGAAGTTACGGTTTAACTAATCTCTTCCTTCTCGTTCAGTTTTATTTTGCAATTTCTTTGTGAATTATTGACCATGTCCAACAAACCTCGATAATGTAATTAACTTATAATATACAGAGCAGTTTTAGTGAATCATCAATCGATGAATTATTTTATATATGAAATGTTGAAGCAGTTATATCAACTTAAATACTAAAACTTAAGCTTCAATTTCTCAACAATTACAAGTCATTAAAGAAAGCAAGATTAATTAAGAACTTAATAGTCTTATTATTGACAGTCATTATATTTTGAATTAGTTTGATTAATTTATTTTGATTGGAGTTACATATCGGAATGAAAAACGTAAAGCCATTGAGTGTTTGACTACATCAAGTGTGAACAAGAAATATGACAAGTTTGCCCCAATGAAAATTAAGTAGTACGAGAGTCTTCTAAGATGACCATCGAGGGTTGTGATAGGATGCGTGATTATAGGCTATAATTATGTGTTTTAGTTGATTATTACACTCTAATTTACTGCACTTTAGTTGAGTTTGCGCTTTAATCGCTAGTGTTTTGCACTAATTATATGTTTTATGCCTTGTAGTTGTGATTCCGAGCTATATAGATGTTATTGAATGAATTTAAGTGATTTTAAGCTTTGAAGCCAGAGTAAAAGCTCAAGGAATTAAGCCGGGATCGTGTTCGGGGGTCAAATTTGATAGTTGAGAACAAACGAAGACTCGATGAGGCATATTGCGCACTGTCTAGTAAAATGCACATAACTTTTTAATAAGAACACCATTTTGGCTTCATAATATATGGTTTGAAAGATAACTCAAAGAGCTACAACTTTCATGTTTTGTGTTTTCCCAAATTCTAAACGGAACAGGATGAAAAACTGCGGTTTCACCGCGACCGCGGCAGAACCGCGGCAGAGTGCAGACGCAGACAATTGAAGAATCAGAGGCCATGTTTGGCCGCGGTTTGACCGCGACCGCGGTAGAACCGCGGCAGGAGGCGGAAATTTCAGGGACTAAAGTGCAAAACATGGGATTTTTAGCCCAAAACCCTATTTTTAAACACTAGACTCCGCCCAAGAGAGGATGTATTGATTTTTAGAGTATCTTGGCAAGAAAAACAATTGTGAGAGATTACCCAAAACATCTTTCTTCTTTTCTTTGATTTTGATTGCTAGTTTATGATGGATCTTATCTTAGTTTGTTTACCCATAGTTATGAGTAGCTAAATCTTTTGTCTAAGGTTTTGATGGAACCTATTGGGGGATGAACTTCTTGTTTATGTGAATACAAATTGCTAGTTTCATTCTTTATTTATTCAACTATGTTCTTGTTGTAGTTAATTGACAGGATCCTCAATTAGCTGTGCCTATTTAGTGTGCATAACTCGGGAGAGAGTGCATATTTAGGTTATTGTTGAATAACACCACTCCTAAAGTATAAGAGGAATCTATAACTGCGGGTTTAAAGGCGGGATTAGGGATAACGAAGTCTTGGGTGCAATCTTAAGTGAACTGTGTTAATTAAAGCTAGCTAGTGTATCTCGGGAGAGTGCAATAGTATATTACTGTGATTACTCGGGAGAGATTTATGGTAAGACGAGCGTTCATGATTGATAGAGAAGTGTTGGTACATTTGTATGAAGCATAAACAGAAGGGATTCCATCAATAGGGGAAATCTTTACCTTAGCTTTATCTCATCATTGTTTACAACCTTAGCATTTTAGTTTACAACCAGTTTAATTTACTTGCAATCTTAGTTACTAAAGAAACCATCAACTTGTGATTCAAACATTTGGGAAGCTGGTTCTGAAGAGTTTAGTGAGTCTAAAGATTGTGATTGATAGGTTAACTCTCTGTGGGATTCGACTCCGGACTTGTAAACCGGATCATATTTGCAATGACCGCATTGTCCTTTTTATAAGGCATAGTTGGGCGTGATCAATGAGTATGTTCTCTCAACCCTTAATCGGAAGTTTCGAATTTAAATTTTAGGATTGAAAAAAATTCTGATAAAAAACGTTTTACTTTTTAATGTGTCTTGCACAGTACAAATCTCAATTAATCGGAACCCCAATATAAGCACCAACCACCGAGTGGGAAAAAAAGAGTCATCCTAACATTAACATTATTATAAATGGCAAGTCCTATCATATTTGAAGGTTACTGTAAATATTACGTAATCTAACTTTAATCTTACCGAATAATCTCTTTTGAAAGCACTTATCTCACCTGATTAGCGTACTTCTATGTTATTAAGGAGTATATAAGTTATTAGGCTAACCAATCTTTAACTAGCACTTGTATTATGTCTACGTCATGTAGATGACAGTATAAAAAATTGCTATATAATCCCTCTATCTCATATTATATGTCGTGTTTTTTTTTACATATCCTTAAGAAATATTAATTAGGAAAGGGATTGGACCATTTTACCCTTATTTATATCTTAAAATATAATCTCTCTTCATTGAATATTTACTCTATTTATATGTTATCTCCATCTTCAAGAACAATTATCACTAAGGGTAAAAAAGAAAAAAAAATAATCAATTTTTTCTTGAACTTCTAAAATGACAAATAATTTGGGACAACTATTTTTAGTAACCATGACTGTTAATATGAGACGGAGAGAGTACCATTTTATAAGGAGCCAACAATATTAAAAATGACATCACGAAGCACGAAACATTCACGCACAGTCCAAGAAAAAGCCGCACCCAAAGAGTGTGATGTAGGTAGTCTATCCAAATGCAAGTATTAGTGGCTGATTCAATAATGTCTATCCAACATTATTCTTATACCTAATTAATGTTTATTTAGGCTAAAAAATTGTGCTGAATGATTTAAGTTTTATATCTATGAACAACTTCGTTAAACTAGATTATTAATTAGTTATTTAGACTAATTGAAATTATCTATAGAAAGTTCCACGTATTGCAAGCGCATTAAGAAATGAGAATAATTAGAGAAAGTATAATTATATGAGAATAACATATAATCAGGAGATTGGTTTAAAAAATTATGTGCATTTGATTTGAATACTTGAAGTTGAAGCATGTTTAGTGACATGAATTATTTACTCATTACAATTGACACCAAAACTTTTAATTCGTATTAAATGCATAAGTGCATGATCCTATATATGTGTGTGTTGTGTGTGTGTTTGTTAGTTATTGTGTGCATTACACATGCCAAATCATGAATTGAAATGTTGGTAGAGGCCAAATTTATGCCATAAAAATAATCATGAATTAGATTCATTATTTTAAACAGAGGAAAAGGTCAAGGCTCAAGTGTCCCTTATGACTTGTCAAGCGACACTTACAACAGAGGCATATGAATGCAAGATCGATGGAACCAACAATTATTCATATGCTTATTGAAAAAACATTGAGAGATTTTTTGCTTTTGTCTTACAATTTACATTAATTTTGAAAATGTTAGAAAGCAAATTATTGAGACGAGACAAAACTTAAACACAAAGTTCTTAACTACCCGATCTTCCACTAATAAGAGAGCAATGGCGGATCCAATTATGGGTTCGCATGGTCAGTAAAATCCAGTGCTTCAAGTCGAACCTTATATATGTGCGAAAAACAAATATAGATAGAGTTAAATATAAATTTTAGAAAGTCCGTTATTGAAACCAGACTAAACTTAAACACAAAGTTCTAAGCTACCCGCCTTCCTCTAATAAGAGAGAAATGGCAAATCTAATCATGGGTTCGCACGGTTGGCAGAATTCAGTGCTTCAAGGTCAAACCTTACGAAAAACAAGTACAGAGAGAGTTAGATGTAAATTTCAAACTCATACTTTTTACTTAAACTCATATCATGTAAATTCTGGATCTATCAGTGCAAGGGAGCACTTCGTGCATGAGGAATATTCTTTATAATAGAGACATCAAATGGTACCTAGAAGGCTAGATAGGCCCTAAGGTTTTAATACTAAATTGCGCAATATACCATCTTTCATCTAGTAGGCCAAAAATAGTCCGTCATCACAAAGTAGAAGGGAAACAATAAAGATCCATATGCAGATTTGTCAATTACTCTATACATTATTAAACTAACAATTCAAAGGGTTGTATCAAGGCCTTCATCAGAAATGAAGCAAACACATGTAAATGTCTGTGTAAGACAACTGAGTCTGAGCAGCATCTCAGCTCAAAGGAAGCAAAAGCCTAGGAATAAACCATGAATTTGTTTCTGAATGATGGAACTGAAATGCAACTGAGGATTTTCAGTGCTTTTGGGATATAGCAGTATCTGGTTCCTCAGTTTCACCTAAAGCAATTGGTAGCGTCTCACTGAGTTGCGTCCTGTAAATCAGATTAAACAACCTCAGAACTATTTTGGTAATCTTGAGCACTGAACTCGTCGATTCAGAAAACTACTGAAATTTAATTTACATAAAACCAAAACCTGCTTTAATACCATAAGCACCAGTTAACTGGAACATAACAAAGACAGATAAATAAAAACGCACAAATAAGTTTCTACCATTGCAAAGAAATAACAGCAATAGACATCAAAGAAGCACATAATACCTTTGTGGAATATTAGTTTCTTGTGACAATGCCTTCTCCAGTCTCTCCTCAAACGGTGTTGCATGCCAACTAACTTTTTGATCCTAAAAAGTCACAAAGACATCGGTTTATCCTTATTGAATTATATAGCTGAGAATAAGAAAATGAGTACAGGAAGTATGACAAACCTCTTTGTACTTGTTAGTAGAATTTGGAATCCCATTTCCATCCCACCATTTAGGTGATATACGAGAAGTTTCATCATCATTCCAATGAGCAGCAACCAACCCAATAATAGGTCTATCTCCAGGAGTTTTACTATAATGAACATTTTCACCACCATAAACAGAACCAAGATGCTGCTTACTCTGCACCTGATTGATTGTAAGTGGTTTTGAATCTTTATCAACTGAAGTTTCTGTGAATCCGAATATTCCTAGGTCTGATATAAGGTTTGCTTCATCAGGCCTTTGATCAAAATCTGTCGTGTGGCTGGACAATAATCTAGAATTGGAATCTTGAGTGGAGTAAGAATCTTCATTTAACAATTCCTTCAACTGTGACGCATTATCCACAGGGTTTAAAACAGGATACACAAACTGAGACCTGATCCGTCCAGTTTTAGCAATTCCCATGTGGTCCAAATATGCTGGAAAAAAGGTTCCAGGCGTTTGCATCTCATCAGTTAGCTTTAATGGGGTTGGATAGGGTGAATACTTTGATGCATGATAGTTGCCTGGTGATTCAGACAGTGCGGAACTTTGACTGGTTTCAGATGAAATACATTTTGATGACACAGAAGACAGATCTGACTCGCTTTCGAAATGGACAGATCTGTATCTGTACTGGGAAGCTGGAGCAGTGACTGGTAAAGCTGCTGAAGCCGTGTTATCATTAAGAGCCAGATTAGCATTAACCTTGGTGAATATCGGAGTGTTAGAATCGCCACTGCCATCAATGGAGTTCTTAGAGAAACTTTGACCACTTTGTCCATCAGTCAAACAACTACAGAAATATAACTTCACATTAGATAGCTGTTCATGTCATTTACATTAGTGAAACAGCAGATGCTAAATGGTTTGAAGCTACAGGTGATAGTAGAAAGAGAGACTTTATTTTATTTTTTAATTTCCTAGGTGTATATATTTCAGAGTAAAACAAACAGGAATAAAAAAAAAGTGGATCAGTATATGCACTGCATTCTTTAGAAATAACAGCAATATTTCTTGCAAGGTCAAAACATGTATTCAGTTCTAGAGATAGGACGTGAATAACAAATGCCAACTTATACACAAAGCAATGCGACATTTAATTCTACAGAAGAAAATGAAAGGGATTATATATTTTCATTTCCATTTGATATCATGTTCAGTAATGTTTTAAGAATATCATTTAATCGAAATTCTCTAGCCATGTTTTAAGGTTAGAATTCCACCTGCTAGGCGTATGCACCAACGAACCAGATTGCTTGTTTACTCCATTGGTTCTGATAGGTGTGAGCTGATCAGGTTGCGAATTAGAGATGAGCTTCTGAAATGTTGCATCAGAGGGCCAGGAATTGAATTTTAAAGGTTCAACTTCTTCCACTGGAGCAGACAGGTTTTGGCATTTCACCGAGCAGTTTCGAATTTCTGCAGGGGTCTCAGGTAAGGTTCCACAAGCTTTGAGAAACTTGGCCTGCAAGAAATTAATCCGCATAAACTATGTAATCCAGTAATTTGCAAAATAGAAACTGGCCACCTCAGCTTAAAGTTAGCTTGGACGTAAAAGTAAATCTTAAGAAAAAGGCATTAGCTTTCACCTCCCAAAGCCGAAAACAAAGTTTGCGAGGTTTTTGTATAAACAGTAATGGTTAACAAATAAGAAAATACAACCATTGTAAAATAGACGAGCATCCAAATGACTTTTAGTACCATACTCAATGTTACATCTAGTTTCTTTCAGCAGGTCAATCACAAGCTACTGTTTTTTTACATACTTGAATTCAACTTTCCAAAGCTGACATGATGCGACTTCAAAAAGCCAAATAAGAAGGTAAGAGACATCGTACCAAATCATAGTGTCAGCAAGATACATATAGCTGCTTAGTGAATGATCTGGAGTGAAATATCAATAGATTGTAAAGGCCAAACATTGCACCTCGATAAACAGAAAGAGCTAACGTGACAAGAAGCCCAGACATGGTTAACAAAGATAAAGTGTAAAGACAAAATTCATCATCTGCTTTCTTTCTTTCCAGACATGTTCCTAACTATTTACAGGTGGATCTAACATATACTACATGACTTTGAGCACAGCGGCTTTTCTAAAATGTAAGCACACAAATTAAAGGTCAACAATAATAATTGAAACTGAATTCTTGCTTCAAGAACATCCTTGATGCAGGTTTCAATTAGACCAGCTTTTATGCAAGTGAAAGCTCACTAAATAAAAATCTCTGCTTTGTAACTAGTAAAAACTGTAGGGTAAGGAAGCAACTCTTTATCCATTTTTTCATCTTTTACATGAAAAAGAGAGATGAAAATTGGAAGCAAAAGATAAGTTTGGGAATTCTAAATATTCATGCAGTCAACTTAGTTTCAGTTTCAACTAAAATTACTATGTGATCTATTATTTCATCTTAAGATAAGAGGAAAACACAAAAGAAAATGTTTACACATATATTTCTTTATTCATCTGCTTATATCAAATCCCTGAACAATATCCCTCTTTTGCAGTTCAAACTCAAAATTTAAAGGCATTTTACGACATCCTTCAAACAATTCCTTCTTTTTCATATCTCGAATTTATAAGAGTATCATAACTCATACAATTCCAAGAGAACCAACCTGATTCCTAAGATCATTTGTGTCCAATTGTGTGATAGGTGTATCCGAACTCTGATTCTCCATTTCTTCGCAGCCCAAAGTGTTGGTCTCATCTTTATCTGGAACCAGCATTGTAGAAAAAAGATATGAACTTGAGTATAACTAATTACCATTCATTGAACAACACTCTAATTTAGTTTGTCAATAATGTGATTAATTGAAAAGCCCACCTTCAGTTAAAAGTGAAGATAGTGGACTTCTATTGCGAGACACCAAAGGTTCCTGATCAATAAAAAGAAATAGTCAAATTTTATAAAACAAAAACAAAAAGGAAAAATCAATAGCACCAATTATTTGCTTCTTTTAGTAGTGTATTAGCAAGCCAGCAAAAAACTGAAGAATTTCAGATTTTACAAACCTAAATAATATGAACTATCACTCAATCAGCAAATTTGACTCTTTCTTATTTAATAGAAAAAAAAATTATAACTTCGAAATTAAGGAAATAATAGCAGTATCGGATTCTATTTCCATAATATATATAGCTCCGGATTAAAAATTAGCTGCAGATTAGTTTTTTTTTTGTTTTGTTTTTTTTATTTACAGAATATAATCAAATGTCACAAAGAACAACAAGAAGTGACAGTAAATAGATTCTTTCCTCTCTTCCTCGCAATTCCTTCAGAATCGAGTAGCACAGCTGCTTCTTTGCTGATTTAGAGCGTACTGCTATTTAGAATTAATAAAAATGAAGTAATCGGAATGTCAATATTAATTTTTTTCCTTTTTTTGAAACATTTCGTAGTTCTTTTTACCAGAGTAAACTAGAATTTCACTAACTAAAACTCCAATTTCATTGTTACATTTGCTACTTTCGTCACTTGCTCAGCAACCGAACAGAATCGCAACAAAACACACTTAAAATATAAAATTAAAGCATGAAATGACCTTAGTAGGAGTAGATTGCGAGATTCGATTCGATTGTGGAGCATTACAAGGAACATTAGGACCCGTAACATCCTTGATCTTGAAACAGCCGAAGAGACAGCCCATGACCGCCGCAACCATCGCACGAACCACCGTAATCACGGCGTTAGGGTTAGAATTGTTCGATTGATCACAATCTCCGATCACTATCCACGACCACACCATAATTCCTTTATCTCATACTATTACTAATAATAATTCATCAATCATTATCTGATTATCTGTATTTATTAATTGATTAATTGCGCATTATTCTCTGTAGCTTAGCTTTCAATTCACATTGCGTAAAATCCGATTCAGAGGTGAGCAGTCACTGTGTTGATAGAATGTAAATGGATTTTTTTGAAATTTGAAGCGGGAATTTAGACGAGGGAAATAAAGTATGAGCGCTTTTCGGGTTTTATCTGCCACGTGTCAGTATTCGATTGGTGGAATTCGTCGTGGAAGGCGGCTTCAGATGGAGCGCGTGAGGTAATGAGCTGTTTTGGTTAACCGTCATTAATTAGTTGTAAATGTGTATTGTAACTGTAGATCCTTTCTGTTACATACTTCCTGGTTTTCGGCGTCCAAAAATATGAAAATTCAATTTCTTTTTGGTGAATTATAAACAAATGTAAAAGTTTTGAAATTTATGGTCTGAAAAATGAGAAGAATTCATCTAAATAGCACTCCACCCAACTGCTTAAACTAAAAATTGCCAGCGAATTTATGTATATATATATATATATATAATTCATGTATAATATATTTATAACCTTGTATAATTTACACAGTGGCTAAAAAATATAAATAGTGAATTCGATTAGTTATTTGTGTAAAAAAAAAAAAAAGCTATAAATTTGTATAGCTATAAAATATCACGTAAATTTTGGTAGAGCGAGTAGTATTTAATTTTTAAAAAACTACCGTAGTATTCCATTTGTCCTAATTTATAAGATACATCTTCTTCTTTTTTCCGGGGTGAAAAGAGTTGCACATTTTTATATGTAGAAGCATTTTAATTTTTTATTCTTATTTTATCCTTGGTAAGATAATTTATAACCATATAATTATTTATAGTTTGTTTCAAAGTACAAGTTTTAAATAATTTTTTCTTAAACTTCGTGTTAGTCAAATAAGGCCACATAAAATAAGACGCATGAAGTATTTATTTTTTTCAATTTTTAAAGTTAATACGTATATGTTAGGAGCAAATAGAAAGTAGGATAATATTTTTCGACGAGCCATGCCTAATGCCATTGGAAGCCCTTAAATTTTTGGACTCAACACTTATCATAAACTAAAATTTCATTATGAACGAAATAAACTACTAAAATATATATACTGTTAACGAGCTTACATCTATTTTGGCTTTACGAAAAGCAATTTCCTGGTACAATTATCACATTCATATGTTGTCTTAAATAAGGTTCTGCCGGCTAGTTTAGTTTAGGAATTTTTACTTCCTATAGCAAATGTTGATACCTTATTTATTTTAAATAAATACCTTTTTAAAAAATTATATTTTATAGTTACCTTTTGATTTTTTATAGTCAAATATCTATTTATGGTCACCTCCTACCCTTAAGCCATAAAATAAGTTTTGTATTGTTTTTCTCTCTCCCCTCAAATTTCTCGTATCCCTCAAATCTCTTGTATCCCCTACCCATATCTATTCTCCCTCTCTCTCATCTTCCACCTTCACCTTTTCAACCTAACCACCATAGCCCCTCCATTCTTAGTTGGTTCTGTCACGACCAGCAAAAAGAAATGGTGAATTCATCACCTTCAAATCTGAAAAAAGGAACAACTTGAAGAAAAGCACCAATAATCGAAACCGAAAAAATAAAAGCATTCAACAAACAAAAAATAAATGCCGACAGATCGGTAGGTACCCTAATGATTCGAATTTCATTGTCGAGAAGGCGAGAAGCCCTAATAATATCATCAGTGGACATAGCATGGAGCTGGTCATCTTCGAAGTTGCTATCCTCTGCCACCGCCCACCGTCGTTGCCATCGTATCTTCTATCTTGTGTTTGTCTGAGAATCCGGGGAGAAAATGGAATTAGAGAATCGATCTGGGTAGCTTGTGCAATCAGAAAGCTTTCTTGAAGATTCTGTTAATATATTTCAATGTATTTCACTGTATTCATTGTCTTTTTTTCCATTGTATTTCAATGTATCTCGCTGTATTCCATGCATTTCATTGTATTCACTGTCTCGCTGTATTTCATGAATGTATTCATATATTTTTTAATTAATATAATTTATGTATTCAGATGTATATATGTATTCAAATTGCTCTGTTTTTGTTGTATTTATCAAGTGGGAAAAGTATTCAGCATATTTTGTGTCAAATATAGATTATGGGTGATGTAATTGAGTTAGTTGAGTTATACTAGGAGTCTATTATGTTAAATGATTCACTTTCCGTTTAAAATCAGCTGAATAGACCACGATTTGCACTATTTACGTTACTGTATTCACAATTACATATCGTGAATACAGTCGAATACAATATCTGTCTAGCTGTAATCCCCTATTTCACGCCGTGAATACAGACGAATACAAAAATCTGTCTAGCTGTAATTCCATATTTCACGCCTAGAAATGCTACTGTATTCATGAATATAGTAGCTCAAATACATCGAATATACTCTAAAGAATCTGAAAACATAGCTATAGGAAGTAATATAGTAAATGGTAGCTACAACTAGCTAATAACCACTAAACAATAGTGGTTTGTGAAAATTTCTCTTTAGTTTAAGCGGTTGGAAGGCGGCTACATGCATAGATTAATTCTTCAATATGACCCGCTCAAGTCTAGTCGTGTTGAGCAGAAACAACCATCAACTATAACCCCAAAAGAATCAGATTACGTAAAAAGAGAAATGGAGGAGTTAGGAGGATGAAGCATCCTTTTCCCTAAGAAATAGGCGGCTTTGCAACGTTTTTTAGCAGCAAGCTACGGTCCAACGACCCCCTAACTTAAGTTGGGGCAAAAACTCCAAAATCCAAAATATTGGTTAGGGTTCCAAATTTTTCTCTAATTATAAGGTAAGCTTTCAAGCCGCTGCCCTTTAAAGGAGCGGGCACAATGAACTGTAATTGTGGAAAGATTGAAAGATCTGGCCAAATAAGGACGTGATAGCCCATGTAGATTCGTTCCCATGATTCGATCCTTCGAAAGGCGTAAAAATCCGAATCTAGGGATGAAGTGGCTTAGTTGAACATAGTGAGACTAAGGGACGAAAGGTCAAAACCAGAAATGTGCAAGCGAGACCCGACAAAAAAAGTTTTCCGCGCGAAAATAGTTGCTTGTTCAATAATTTACTGGATGGGAAGTATAGATAGAAAGGCAGAAAAGGGGGTGTCGGCTCTAGGTAAGGGCAAGAGTCATTCCAATTGAGTAGGTGAAGAGTCTCTTTCAAGCGAGATTCTTTACCACGCCTAACTAAATGAAAGAAAGTAAGAGAAAAAGTGGCCGCCTATTTCTAAAATGAAAATAAAGGACTTCCTTATCCTAACACTATTATTGAATGAATATGGTAATTAATGCCGTCAGAGAGGCTGAGGTGATTCGTCGCATCTCCTCCGACAACTCCTTGGCGTCTAAAGACTTGAGTTGTTTGGGCTGCAAATAAAAATAGATTTGTTTTGGATAGTTTTCCGGAGACCAAAAACGCTGACTTTTGTCGAAGTTTGGCCATAAAAACCTAATCAAAACTTAGAAATAACTTTTTCCGAGTTTGATTGTTTGATATATAGTCTAAGACAAATAAGAAAAATTCTTATTACTTTGATTTCCCAAATAAACAAATTATGAAAGAATAAGAGAGATACGTCGATTGACACATGCAAATCATTTTATACATGTTTGATTCACTAGAAACGAATTAATGTGCTATGATTGTTTATATTTGACGATCGAATGTACGTAATTGAATAAAGTTAAAACTAAACTTCTGTTTCACTTTTTACCTACAATAACAACAATAACAAAAATAACAATCCAATATAATTTTACAAGTGGGATTTATGGAGGGTAGGATATACGCACCCTAATTACCCCTGCCCTGAAAGGACAGAGAGACTATTTACAATAAACCTTCGGCTAAATAAAAGACGAAAGAAGCACTGATAGCAAACACGTTTTACCTAATCCTTTTGAGTTTATTTTCAGAGCCAGCTGCCAAATTGACTTGGTGGCACCAATATACAACTTATGCATGGACAGACTTGCATAATTTACCGAAAATTATGACTTATATATGAGCCTTGCTTCTACTTGTATTGAAAGAATATTTTTGAAAAGAAAAAATCAATGATAAGTCTAAGAGAATAAATAAAAGAATATAAAATTGGTGAAGTTTATGAACAGTGTTGTGAAAGTTAAAGAAGAATTAATACTATTGATTCTCTTTGAGTAGAATCCGAGTTATCAACCAAATATTTTAGTGGAGTGATAAGTACCCTTTAATCCGAGATTTCGAGTTTGAGCTATGAAAATAGAATTTCTTTTGGTAGGAACCGTTTTACTACAAAATAGGATTTTTCATTGTAAATCCAGATTAATTAGATCACAACTTGGGTATCAAACACGGGATAAAAAAGAAAAAAAGAAAATTAGGGTTAAAAAAACTAGCTACTAGATGGCTCATCTTCAAGTTTTTCAAAGTCATTTATCACGGTAATATATATGTCAAGGGTACGTGATTCAAGGGCAACTATAATCTTAATTTGCAATTCCCTTCCCCCTTTTTTTTTTGGTTTCTCACCCGGTGTGCGGTATCCGTATTGGAGCCCGACTATATCCGTATTCGCGCCGCGTAGAGCCCTATTCGGGGGGAAGTGCTCCCTACCAAGGATTTTTCCATATACAGGACTCGAACTCGAGACCTCTGGTTAAGGGAAGAGCAATCTCATCCGCTGCACCACATTTCAAAATAGAACCACTGTTGGAGAAAATGATAAAAATATCCCTTATATTTTTAGGATAGGGTAAAAATAGTTTTTTAAAAAAAAATTATATCTTTGAACAATTTTGATCCTTGAAGCTTTCCAAAAGTGAGCACTTTTTAGTCTCTTCCTAAAATACTTAGCAAAAAAATGTACACTAGTTGTTTGATTTAATGGGAACACTAAAATAAATATAACGGAAACTAATACTTGGAGGTGCAAGTTTTGCGTTTTTCTGCTATTTTTTAATTTAGTTCTAGTGTTTATGATTAATTTTTTTTATTTTTCCTATTAAATCTAACCGTTAGCGTTTGCTACAATATTTGATTGAGATAAAAA